ACTTGAACGTGGTGTTCCACGATTAGTCATTAATTATAAACCATTAAACAAAGTTTTAGAATGGATACGCTATCCAATCTCTAATAAAAAGATCTCATTAAAAGACTTAGTTAAGCTGTTAGCTTTTGTAAATTTGATCTTAAAAATGGATTTTTGCAAATACAAATTCACCTTGATGATCGCTATAAAATGGCCTTTACTATACCTTTTGGCCATTATGAATGGAATGTCATGCTCTTTGGATTGAAAAATACTTCTAGTGAATTTCAAAACATTATAAATGAAATTTTTAATCCCTTTAGTCATTTTTCCATTGTCTACATAGGTGATATTCTCACTCGATGAACATTGGAAACATCTTAATTCCTTTCTCTATATTATCAAATATAATGGTCTAGTCATTTTTTGCTCCTAAGATAAGCTATTTCAAACTAAAGTTAGATTTTTACGATATGATATCCACCAAAATACTATTCTTCCTATCAGTCGATCTATTGAGTTTGTTTCTAAGTTCCCTAATGAAATCTTAGACAAAATCCAGTTACAACGGTTTTTAGGTTCCTTAAATTACATTGCTGAATTTCACAAATACCTTAGGAAAATTTGTCAATTCCTTTTTGATAGGTTGAAAGATAATCCTCCTCCTTGGTCTTTTACTCATATTGCTATTGTTCAACAAGTCAAAAAATTTGACTTTCCTATTGAAAATTCATTCAAAATTATTCAGACTGATGCTTCTGATGTTGGTTATGGTGGCATTCTCCTTCAGAAAATCACTCCCCTGTCATCTAAACAAATTATTCGTTTCCATTCTGGTATTTGGAACAAAACACAAAAATTATAGTACTATTAAAAAAGAAATTTTATTTATTGTTTTATGTATTAGTAAATTTCAAGATGACATTTTAAATCAAAAATACCTATTACGCGTTGATTGCAAAAGTGCTAAATATGTTTTGGAAAAAGATGTTTAAAATATTGCTAGTAAACATATTTTTGCTTGATGGCAATCCATTTTAAGTATTTTTTATTTTGATATTGAATATATTCCTGGTAGTCAAAATTCTATCCCCGATTTCCTTGCCTGAGAATTTTTACAGGGAGGATAGTACATCATGCCTACTCCTTATTGTTCTACAAACAGATTACAAGTCACAAGATACTGCAAAACTATTCGCTATTATAAGTTTAAAATATCCTATTTGAAGTCACTATAAAATGACTCTTACCTTCATCAAGACCCTTACCTTCAATTCAATCAGATTAGAAGTTATTGCAATTTCATTGCTCATTACATTAATCTAGTTTACTTTCATATGGATAGATTAAATGTCCTCAGTGGATGCTAATCTACTAGCATTTTTCTTACAGATGCCAAGCCACAAACCTACTACAAAACCTCTTGCCATTATGCCATCCAGTCAACCCATTGTTGCACCTCCAATTGATCTAGTCAACCGATATCAAATTCTTGGTAATATTCCCAAACCTAGTTACACTTCGACTCTGGTTTCTGACCCTTTTGCCTGCTAGTCAATTACGCTAATGCCTCCTAACAAGTCTACCCCAAGAACAGATTATGTTTTTAAACAATCAATCTTTTTTACAAAGAACCAGTCCATGAAAATATCCACAATGTTCTTGAATTAGTCAAATCTTATTTCCCTAATAGATGGCATTTCATTCCTTCTCATCCCGATAAGTCAATAACCTTTTATAAGGATATTCTTTTCCAGTATAAGTCAATAGTCATTAAACCTATCTATGATCGAGTCCAGACCAGTAAAATCATTTATCATTCTTTGTACATTCATAATACTCCCTCCGTCCCAAAATATTAGTCCCTTATTCCATTTTTCATTGTCCCAAAATATTAGTCCCTCTTTATAAATCAAGTACAAAAGTAATGTAAATTTCCTACTTTGCCCTTCTTTTAAATTAATAAACAATTTAAAAAGTACAATTTGACATTGATATTCCCAAAAAATGTACTAAACCTTTTATAAGGATATTCTTTTCCACCATAAGTCAATAGTCATTAAACCTATCTATGATCGAGTCCAGACCAGTAAAATCATTTATCATTCTTTTTACATTCATAATATTGTTTCCATAGAAGAATGGGGTCTCCCTTTTCTACTACGAGACCTTCCCAACCATGATATACAATATAGTTACTATGATTACATTGATGCTTGGTTCAAAATCCTCCTACATCAAAATGAGTCATATAGCCATTCTTGGTTTTTCTCATTTGACCACAAATTCAAATCAGAATTCCCTTCTTGGTTCTTGACATGGTGGTCACAGTATGGTGCCATCCCAAAAATCATCCCTTCTAAATTAATAGAACAAGTCAATTACTTCTTTTCAATTTACAAGCTCAGCCAGCATAAAAGTCAGTTTCCTTGGTTACTCCATTTTGTCCAAATATAAAGTCCCTTGGATTTTTAAATGGCAATACAGTCTATCCAATGACATAGTTAGTCGTCAACATTTTGTTAAATGGTGGGATGCATTCAAAGCCCATTGTATTATTGAACAAGTCCAGCAAGAATTTCCAGTTAACATTCATGCCCCAACTCCTGCAATGGTCAAGTCTCAACAAAACCCAAATGCTTCAGTCACCCAAGGAAGCCCACTTCCTCTCACTACAGTCAGACTTGGAAGCCCATCAACCAACATTAAGCCTTCCAAATCCAAGTCCTCCAAGGCCAAGCCCAAAGGAAAGCCCAAGTCAACCTCTAGTGATGAATTAATTCAAATGGCCAAATTATTGTTGGCCAAAGCAAAGTCACAAATTGAAAGATGAAGCCTCAGATGATTCAGCCTCGTCTGAAGCCTCAACCAGTCATGATCCATATGGTCCACAATTCCAAGATGCTCCGGACCCATATGCCTAAAAAAGTCATTGGATTTCATATATATACATCAGATTCAGTCACTATTCTTACTTTGAGTAAAGCTGCTCATATATATATATATATTGATTCTCCATCAGTCAACTGTGCAGTCACGTTTCCTCACTGCAAGTAAAAAAAATAAATATATATATATATAAAAAAGTTCTTCGTCATAGAAAGATGCTCTCAGCACCCATGTGCCTCTTGTTTTCCAACTTTTGAAGTCACAAGTTTCATAGTATTCTCCAGCTTTTGAAGTCATAAGCCTCACAACTCCAGTCACAGGCCTTACAGTTCCCAGTTTACAAGCTTAACAGTTATCCACTTTGCCTATAAAAGAAGCTCCTCAGTCAAGGCTAGTTCAGAGTTGGAAAGAGGTTAAATTTTGTTTCGCAATTTCTGTCAAAATAGTATTCAAATTCAGTTTTCAAGGATGCAAGTTGTAGCTGTATTTTTCAGTTACTTCCAGCAAACAATTATGTATTTTCTAGTTATTTCCAGTAAACGATTGTAAGTTTATTTTGTATTACTATTTCTGCTTTTGTGTTACTATTTCTTCTTAACTTGTTTTATTTGTGTAATTTATTTATATGTGTTTTTATTTATATGTTATTTCAATTTAGTTATTTTAACTTGTTTTATTTATGTGTTGCTTCCGCTTTTGTTATATAATTTAAATAATGATAAACGAGCTGAGCTTATGCGAGCTCAAGCTCGGCTCGTTTACTAAACGAGCCGAGCCGAGCCGAGCCGAGCCGAGCCCTTAACGAGCCGAACTGAGTTTGTTCATGAACAACTCGGTTCATTTGTAGCCCTAACTTTGATCCTTGAATCTCAAAATGTTTGTGGGGGTGGGAGAGGGAGTCAAATCCTAGATGATGTGCTAGTGGCAAATGAAGTGCTTGATTTGAGATTGAGAAGCGGGAATCCATTGTTGATTTGTAAGCTTGATTCAGTGAAAGCTTATTACCATGTTGATTGGGGTTCCTTTTCATGTGATGAGTAAAATGGGGTTCTACCTGAAATTAAGGGAGTCGATTTGATAATGCATTTCCAGTCATGCTTTCAGTTTTGATTAATGGTTCCCTAGTGGGGTTTTTTTCAGACCTCGGCAAAGGATTTGTTGTATCCTCCCGTGTTTATCTTATGTATGGAGATGTTGAATGGTTTTTTTGGAAGGTTTTGAGGTGGAAAGGGTGAGCGGTTTATTCTCTTAGGCGTCTCACTTGTTATATGATGACGATACTATTTATTTTTATGGCACTAATCTCATGGTTGGGCTATATTTGATGTGTTCTTCTATGCTTTGAAGTGGTGTTGAGTCCGAAGGTGAATCTTGGGAATTAAGTTCTGATTTCGGTTGGTAATGTGTGTAATGTTGGGGTTTCGGCTTCCATTTTGGGAAGCAAAATAGAGGCTTTACTTATCACCTATTTGTCGCTTCTTTTGTCGTCTTTTTTTTTTTTATAATTTTTTTGTTAGGTAGGGTTCTTTGTGGTTTTCCGTAATGGCTATACATGTGTGGGATTCAATTGTAGAAAGATTTTTTTCGGCTTAGCAAGGTGGAAGGGACTATTTATCTAAAGGAGGTAGGCTAGCTTTAATTAAAAGTACACTATTTAGTCTTCGTACTTTTTTCATGCCTTTTTTACTATTCTTGGTTCAGTGGTTAAGAGATTGGAAAAGCTGCAACGATACTTCATATGGGGCAGGATTGCTGATGAGTTGGAAAGAGACTTCATTTGGTTGTTCATATGGATTTTTAATAAATACATATATTTTTTTATATTTTATTCAATGTGTCCCCAACGTGTTTATATCCTAATGTTTAGATAAATGTCATGTTTGCATGTCCATATTGTGTCGTATCAATATCTGTACTCTTTAATGTAAAAAATAATATAGAAAAATACTGTTTCCTTCATTTTAAAATATGAAAGAGCTGGAAAAACCCAATCTGATGGAAGACACTACAACTGAAATGACAATCTTTAAGTCAAATATGTAGTTCAGTCCATCGCGTATAATAAAACTTGGATATTAAGTTATACCATGTTTGAACAGAACTGACTTCAGTTTCTTACATTTGCTTTATAGGTTCTATCAAATCTCGATTGTTGTAGCACTGAAGTTTCTGCAAAATTTCAGTATTCATCTTCGGCTGTCAATGAAGAAGAAAGCTCCAATCATCTTCTGGAAAGTATCATTGTTGAAAAATTTGATAACCTAACTAATGAAGTTGAATCTGACGAGGTTCTTGATTGTTCAATACCTGAAAACGCGAGTGACCCAGGATCTTTCTCAACAGTTGATGAAAATAATGAAAATTCCCATACTAAATCTTCTGCCAGTGGAAGTTCTAGCGACAGCCCGACTTTGTCTGCGATTCTTAGGATGGATTCAGTGGCTCGATTGTCAATGCTGAGGAAACGGATAAGCTTGGTGGAGAACGTGACCGCTCTGTCAAGGAACGATTGTGCATGGCTGTTTGCTCTGTGCGCTGCAATCGACACTCCACTAGATGCTGACACGTGTGCAGCCCTTAGGTGTTTGCTGAGGAAGTCTGCAAGCTTGCGAGCTGCAAAATCTGAAGTCAATGATGAAGTTGTCATGCTTAATATTCTGGTAACGATTACGGGTAAATACTTTGGGCAGTTAGAATACTGAGGTTCTTATAAGTTCATCTGGGGCATTGCAATGGCCATGGATTGTGCTTGCGTTTTTTGTTTTTGTTTTTGTTTTCAATCCAGGGTGTAATTTGTTTTATTTGCTCAATATAATGGTTGTCTATGCCACACTTGGTAAATGAATGTGTTACCACAGAAATGCATATGTTGTTTACTTTGGCATGCATGTTTGATTCTCAGTTATGAGGATGAACAATGGATTAGGTTGTTATCTTTTGCGTCCATTGAGAAGAAAATAAAGAAAACATAGGACCTGTTTGGTTGGTGTATTTTTGGTTTCTTCATTTTCTTTTAATGAAAGGTTTGAAAACACCCTGCATTTTCGTATTGTTTTGTTTTTGTTCCAAGATAGTTTTCAAAAATTAAAAGAACTGTTTTTTTGGTGTTTCTTAAAAAGTGGATTGTTTTAAAATAAAAATAAATAAATTTGTCAAAAGTAGTTGCCATTTTTATCTTTTTTATTTGGATTTTTTTTTTATTTTTTTGTTTTTGTTTTTTGTATTTTTCTAGAATAAAAACAAAAAACATGCAACAAAATTACAATCAAGCAAATCCGTGGATATTAGTGGGTTGTTATCGATTGGGTTTTATAAAGAAAAGGACACTTCTAATTCTTTACACATTTTTGAGGGCTGCTATTAGCATCTATTTATTTACTTTGAATCTCCCAATTTTTTGAACCTCCACTATTTTCTCTTTGAACATTCATCTTAATACCAACTATACCCAAACCCAAACCCTAGCCCCCACTTTCAACCACCACCTCCAACACCACTGTCATTGCTTCTGGTAGCCCACCTCCTACCCCCTTTCTTCTTTTTCTTCTTCTTCACCTTCTCTGTTTCAGCTCTGGCAAACCACCATTGCACTATCGCACCACCGCGATCTGAGTCAAAGAGAGAGATCTGAACCTGAATCTGAATAGAACCACCTTCTTTGTCTTGCCATCACACCACTACAACACTTTGCCCACCTCGTCGCAAACCTCCTCCCTGATCGCGAACCTTAACCTAGTCTTCTTTTTTTCGCTGCAAAAACCCATTGCCAGTCGTCATGTCGCCACCGTTGCCATCGCCTCTCTCTCTCTCTCTCTCTTGCTTGATCTTCGTCTCACTCTCTTTGAAAACCCTAGGTCTAGGTTAGGGTTTGGTGAAAATGGCCAAAGAGGATAGGGGAGGAAGATTGACAGTGAGATCTAGGGTTAGGGTTTCGGCGATGATGGCAACGGTGGTAGGTGGTGGGTGGTGATGGCAGCGGTGCAGTGGTGGAAAGAAGAAGAGAGTGCTACGATGTTAGGGGTGACGGGAAGGTGGATGGCCGGCGTTGGGGTGAATGGTGGCTTTCGGGGGTGATGAAATTAGGGTTAGGGTGAAAAATTAGGGTTAGAGGGTTAAGGATGAAGGTAGAAATGGAATTTTGTCTTTGGACAAAATTGGAATTAAAAAAAAGAAAGAAAGAATTTGGGAGGAAGGGAGGGGCAAAGTAAATAGGCAGGTGCTAATAGTAGCCCTCTTTATTTTTATTACATTTCTATTCCTGTCTAAAATTACCAAAAAGACATAACATCCCCAATTTAAAAATCTAATTTTTCATTACACTCTAATCACATCACCACCACCTCCACCAGCTCACCACCGTTGCCACCTCTCCACCACCACCACCACCTTTCTCCTCCATCCAACCTCTCTTTACCTTACCTCTCTCATTTGTCATCGCCCCTCCTTTCCACCCAGTCCCTTCCACCAACCATCGCTACCTAATCCCTCTCCACCAACTGTAGGTTTTACGAACCATTCGATTCTGGTTCGCCAAACACATGACCTTTATTCGGTTGTGGGCTACTGAACATGCAAGATATGTCCGGTTCTGGGAAGCCGAACATGATGGGTCTATACGTTTGGCAAGAGATGTAAG